TGGTTGATTGGGGTTTGTTGTACAACCTGGCCAGCTCGGAGACACGCACTCCACTTTCATGCTTTGTTATTATCTCCTTCTTTATTTCGATTGTAATTCTCGCCATTTTTACCACAGGGTTGGCACTAGAAGCTTTCTTTGGACCCATGGTGGCTTATTTAGCAGTTACAAGCACTAAAAACACTGGAATAATACAAAATGTACTGAATGTATGCATGGGAGTGACTGCACTGGCTTGTAAACATTGGCACACTAACTGAAGGTAGGGCAGCTGAGGCACGCTCAGACCAGATGGGACGTGTGGACACGTTCAGGACGAATGGTGTAAGTCGAGTTTTTCTTCGTAGGTCTTGGAAAACTTTTTACGCTGAAATGCTTCATAAGGCAATTTTATCGTTAGATGATGCCTTCGTTAGGTTTGTGTATGTGTGTGTGTGTGTGTACAGTGGCCCCTCATTTATCATTGTTAATCCGTTCCTGGAAGTGCGATGATTATCGAAATGATTTTCGAATCAATTTTCCCCATAAGAAATAATGTAAATACAATTAATCCGTTCCTGACACCCAGAAGTATTAAAACAAAAATTTTTTTTACATAAAATATAGATGTAGTACATAAACAATACAATGGGACATGATGAATGAAATATTAACAGCATAACACTTACCTTTATTGGCGATTCTTCTTAGTGTATGGAAGAATGGAGGAGGAGAGAGATTGGATTAGTTACTGTTTGGAAGGAGAATCCCCTTCTGTCAATATCTCAGGTACCAAGTCCTTTTCTGGGGTTACTTCTCTTCCCTTTGTTTCTTAATGCCACTAGGACCAGCTTGAGAGTCACTGGAGTCTTGTCTCGCAAAAAAAGTGCCCAGAGAGCTCTGTTTCTGGCGTCTCTTTAAAACTTCCCTAAAATGGGCCAAGACTCTGTCACTGTGCAAGTTGCTGATATGGCTTGCAACATCCTTCTCAGGGTGATGTTTCTCCATAAATCTTTCCATCCTACCCCACATTTAAAAAATCTCCATAATTTCTGAAGAAGGCACCTTCTTCCATCTCTCTTCCTCCTCCTCTGCAGCAAGATTCTGAGCTGCGATCTCTTGCTGTTCCTGCTGAAGCTCTTGCCGCTCCTCAGTGGATAGCTCTTCGTTGTGGTCCTCCACCAACTCTTCCACATCCTCCAAACTCACATCCAACCCCATGGAACTCTCCAGTGCCACAATAGAGCTCACAACTGACAGGCTCATCAGGGTCAGCCACAAACCCTTCAAAATCCCTCTTGTGGACACAGTCTGGCCACAATTTTCTCCAAGCAGAGTTCAAAGTCCTGGTAGTCACTCCCTCCCAAGCCTTACCTATAAGGCTTATGCAATGGAGGATACTGAAGTGTTCTTTCCAAAAATCTCTAAGGGTCAAGTGAGTGTCCGAGGTCACATTAAAGCACCTTTGAAACATTGCTTTGGTGTAGAGTTTTTTAAAGTTTGAAATGACCTGCTGGTCCATGGGCTGGAGGAGAGGAGTGGTATTCGGGGGAAAGAACTTTACTGTGATGAACCCAAACTCCTGCAGAATTAAGTCATCCAAGTTTGGAGGATGAGCAGGTGCATTGTCCATTACTAGGAGGCACTTGAGATCCAATTTCTTTTCCAGAGGTAATTCTTCACACTGGGGCCAAACACTTCATTGAACCACTCGACGAAAATTTCCCTCGTGACCCATGCCTTATTATTAGATCTCCAAAACACACACAGTTTACTCTTCATAACATTGTTTTTCCTGAACACTCTGGGATTTTCAGAAGGGTACACTAGTAATGGCTTCACTTTGAAATCCCCACTAGCATTAACACGGAACATGAGCGTCAGCCTGTCTTTCATAGGCTTGTGTCCTGGCAGTCTCTTTTCCTCCTGAGTAATGTAGGTCCTCTTTGGCATTTTCTTCCAAAAGAGGCCTGTTTCGTCACAATTGAACACTTGTTCAGGTTTCAGTCCTTCAGCCTCTATGTACTCCTTGAATTCACTTACGAATTTTGTAGCTGCAATTTTGTCCGAACTGGCAGCCTCACCATGCCTTATCACACTGTGTATGCCACTATGGTTCTTAAATCCCTCAAACCAACCTTTGCTGGCCTTAAATTCACAAATATCAGTACTCGTTGCAGGCAATTTCTTTACCAGATTGTCATGCAACTGCCTAGCCTTTTCACAAATAATCGACGTCATAAGACTATCTCCTGCTAATTGTTTCTTGTTTATCCACACCAATAATAACTTCTCAACATCTTTGAGTACTGGTGATCTCATTTTTGTCAGCATATTTACCCCCTTTGCAACAACAGCTTCCTTGATTTCCTTTTTCTTGGCCACGATGGAATATGGTTATACAGGATTTGTTATACAGTGGACCCCCGGTATTCGATATTAATCCATTCCTGAGAGCTCATCGAATACCGAAAATATCGAAAACGAATCAATTTTCCTCATAAGAAATAATGGAAATCAAATTAATCCATGCAAGACACCCAAAAGTATGAAAAAAAAATTTTACTACATGAAATATTAAGTTTAATGCAAAAGAATAATTACAATAACAATAAAATAATTGACACTTACCTTTAATGAAGATCTGGTGATGATTGATGGGATGGGAGGAGGGGAGAGGTGTTAGTGTTTAGAAGGGAATCCCCTTCCATTAGGACTTGAGGTAACCCCTTTTCCAGGGTTACTTCCCTTCTTCTTTTAATGCCACTAGGACCAGCTTGAGAGTCACTGGACTTCTGTCACACAACATAACTGGCAGCCTCACCATGCCTAATCACACTATGTATGCCACTACGATTCTTAAATCTTTCAAACCAACCTTTGCTGGCCTTAAATTCACTCACATCACCACTAGTTGCAGGCAATTTCTTTACCAAATCATCATGCAACTGCCTAGCCTTTTCACAAATGATCGCTTGAGAGATGCTATCTCCTGCTATCTGTTTTTCATTTATCCACACCAATAACAATCTCTCAACATTTTCTAACACTTGCGGTCGCTGTTTCATAATCACAGTTGCACCTTTTGCAAGAACAGCTTCCTTGATTGCCGTTTTCCTGGTCACTATAGTAGAGATGGTTTATTGGGGTTTATTATACAACCTAACCAGCTCCGACACACGCACTCCACTTTCGTACTTTGCAATTATCTCTTTCTTCATTTCATAAGTCATTAGCGACTTTTTTTCTCGAAGGGTTGGCACTAGAAGCTTTCTTGGGGCCCATGGTGACTAATTTTGCAGAAACAAGCACCAAACACAGTGATAATATGGATAATATGGAATGTACTGAATGTATCCTTAGATGCGCACACACTGGCTGGCTTGTAAACACTGGCACACACGGGGCAGTTCAGGCCACACGTGGACAGGTCTCGTACGAATCATATCGAATACCGGGTTTTCAATCGAATACTGAGGAAAATTTTTTGCGATATAATGCATCGGATACCGGATTTATCGAATACCAATGCCATCGAATACCAGGGGTCCACTGTACATCCTGGCCAATTCGGCCACACATACACCACTTTCATATTGTTCAATGATGTTTTTCTTAAATTTAGTTGTATTTATCACCTTCTTTACCAAAGGCTTGGCACTAGGAGCTTTCTTTGGAGCCATGGTAACTTATTTAGCACTTGCAAGCACTAAAATGAATGGAATATTATGAAATATTTCGTATGAACAAGTGAGGGGACCGTCGCTCACTGGTAAACAATGGCACACTGGCTGGGAAGGGAGGCCGAGGCAGCTCAGAGCTGTGAGTACGCGTCCAGGGTGAACGACGATTAGTGAGTCAACCAACCATTTGCGAGCCAATGTTTGGACGAAAATAATGCGACGATTTCCGAAAAGGACGATTATCAAGCCCGATGATTATCGAGGGACCACTGTATATGCAATAAAAATCACAGTAAACATGTGATATCACAATATGTAGAACCACTGTGAAAAAATAGCGAGTTGAGATGAAACATCCGAAGTTGGTATCAAAGTTGAGCGTGGAACACGAGTGCAAAGTCATGCTAAACAGCTGTTTATTAATTGTGATACGAAAAGATCATGTGATATTTGTGAAGATTACTAGTAGATGGTTGTCTGTAGCAAGACATACCTGTAGCAAGACATACCTGAAATCTTGCATGTTTATGAGACCACTATTATTATTATTATTATTATTATTATTATTATTATTATTATTATTATATTCATGGAAGGCACTAAATCCATAGGGGTCATAGATCACCAGGGAAATAGAGGGTAATCAGGTTGGATTGGAGGAAGGGTGGGCAATTCCAGTTTCTTGGATCAAGAGCCCCTATCATTAAGGCAACTCCCTTCCCCTTTGAAGGTTTTTCACTTCCAGAACCTGAGTCAGATTATCCGATTTCCTTGAATTCATTCATGTACGTTACACGTATGTTCTTCTGTATCACACCCCAGCAGTACGTCAGTTCTCTCCCTCTCAAAAAATAAAGAAAGACTTGCCTCTGCTCATTCCAATCTAATATTCTCGGACTTGCCTGTTATGTCCCTGTGTGTCTATCCACATATCCAGTTATAACATAGGTGTCTATGGGGAAAATAGATTTGCTTAAAACTAAAATTCATATAAATTATTTATCCAGTTCCTTTTTTGGGCTGTTACTTGTGGGTCAACTGTGTTATTGTTTCCTTTTTCAGTTTGCACTTTGTAGTGCTGATTTGCATTTTGATGTATATAATGGAGTTCATTGTGGAAAGCATGTTTTGTCTAATGAAAATTAACATTGTGAACTTTTTTGAGGAAAGTAGCCTTTTCAGTGAGGACTTTGTGTGTGTTGACAAGTTTTCTTGTATTGTCAGTAGAAAAGATTTTAAAGAATCCACTTATAGTTGTTTTTAACATGTTAAAATTTAATTTTGAATCGCTCTCTGGAGGACATGTAGAAAAAAATAATATTTTAATTGTTTTACTTAGGACAACCCATGATGTGGGAGCAGTTGGAGCTTTGAGAAGAGTGAAGAGCGCCATATCAGTGGCACGTAAGGTGATGGAACACACCACTCACACCATGCTGGTTGGAGACCAAGCTACAGAATTTGCTCTCATGATGGGCTTCAAGGAGGAAAACCTAACAACACAGTCTTCAGATGAAATATATAATGAATGGAAAAATGCATCATGCCAACCTAATTTCTGGAAAAATGTTTTGCCAGAGCCTGAACTAACCTGTGGGCCTTACCATCCAATAGATACAAAATATAAAAGTTTTAAAGGTTCTACAGCTTTTGAAGGAAAGAATTTTAATGTGAAGAATCATGATACCATTGGAATGATAGCTATAGATAAGAAAGGCCGTATTTCTGGTGGAACATCAACTAATGGTGCTATACACAAAATACCTGGAAGAGTTGGGGATTCACCAATACCAGGTAGTGGGGTTTATGTTGATAAGCATGTAGGAGGAGCTGCAGCCACTGGGGATGGTGATGTAATGATGCGATTTATGCCGGCCTTATTGACCGTGGAGTTGATGCGTTCTGGTGTCACGCCTAGTGCTGCCTCTGAAGTAGCTCTACAGAATATTGCCTCATATTACCCAGAGTTTATGGGTGCAGTAGTTGCTGTAAAAATGAATGGAGAATATGGGGCTGCTTGTTATGGCTTTGATGAGTTTCCATTCTCTGTGGCCAACTCTGAGTTACAATCTGTAACTGTGATGTCAGTATCATGTTTTACATAAATACATTCTAATGACTTAAATAACTGTGATGTCTATCATGCTTTACACACTGTTGCTGTATGACTCTTTACAGGTTTAATGCTGAGTTATGATTATAGTGTAATTTACATACTGTTTGTTCCCATGATGTAACCTGTACAGTACAGTAGTCTTTTACATTTAATATGAATATGTTGTATATTATTTTATATTGATGGTACCTCTTTCTTTTCCTGGTGTAATACTTCATTTTCTGTGCATGTCTGCTTACCATTGGTTTGATTATAGTCAGCTATTTTATTATACCTACTAGATTTTACATGTGATTTACCTGTGACTAGTTCTAAGTTTTTCTACTTTTGCTGCCTGGCTATAAGACTGTTCAACAGGCTCCCATCATACATAAGGGGAATTACCAATATACCCCTCACTGCCTTCAAGAAGGAACTGAATAGATACCTAGTCAGTTCCTGATCAGCTGGGCTGTAGTTTGTGTGTTGGATTGTATGTAGCCATCAGTAACAGCCTGGTTGACCAGGTCCTGATCCACCGGGAGGCCTGGTCAAGGACTGGGCTGTGGGGGCATTGACCCCCTGGAATAAACTTCTGGTAGACTCCAGGTAGGTTTCCCTGGTGATTATCTTGCAGATCAGTATAATTATTAAAATTTGGCAGGTGTGGCATATTCTGCCAGTAATTTCCATGTAACCTCTTGAAGACTACAGTTTTTGTTCTGGCAGTATTTCTTGCTTTTGCTAGTAGAAAAATTTAAAAAGCTAGACATTAAAGATTACAGCATTACCCACATGTGCTTTTCACTTGGTTTATCTTACATATATTGCATCTTTCTCCTCGATAAGGTATTTTCATTGTATTGATTAAGAGACGGTTTTATCATTTGTATTCCAAAGGATATGTGAATGAGCCAACTTTGTCATTTGTATGTATTCCAAAGGAAACATTCCACGTGTTTTTAGATGGTGCCCTTAGTTTAAATGCATTACTCATTCTATACTGCAAGTAAAATGCCTTTTTTTTTTTTTTTTTTGGGTTTATTTATCTGAGTTGTTGGTGAAGGTTTCCATAATGTAGCCCAAAATATTCTTGACTGAAGCACAGTTTGCTTTCTTGTGCTCTTTAAAATGCTTATCACTGATTTTTTTTTAAAAACCTGTTCTCTCTTGTACGAACAGATTCAAGCTGCCTGTCGTATCCTCTACTTAAAGTGAAGGAGTTAGAATTTGTCTCCCATGCATATACTATTGTTTTTAATTGCCACTTTACTGATATCTGAGTGCCTTATTATTATTATTATAGTCATGGGATGTACGGTGCCTAGAAAATGGGAGATGATCAGCTTTGATCCAGGCAAGGGAAGGGTAGCTCTAATTCCTTCCATCAAGAACCCTCCACCAGTATTAGATGGAGGAGAATATCTAACTGTAGATATCCTTAAAGAATATCTACAATTCGATATCCTTTGAATATCTACTACTACTACTACTACTACTACTACTACTACTACTACTACTACTACTACTACTACTACTACTACTACTACTACTACTACTACTACTACTACCACTACTACTACCACTACTACTACCACTACTACTACCACTACTACTACCACCACTACTACTACTACTACTACTACCACTACCACTACTATTACCACTACTATTACCACTACTACTACTACCACTACTACTATCACTACTACTACCACTACTACTACCACTACTACTACCACTACCACCACTACTACTACCACTACTACCACCACCACTACCACTACCACTACTACCACCACTACCTCTTCCTGCCTATAGATAGCCGTCCTGCTCCACTTCTGGTTAGTGTGACTTTGTAAATGGTCCAAGTCGGACCGAAACGTCGTCGTAGGCTTCTCTCTTCTATGTGCGGTTATTTGTGTATCTAATTGTAGTTTTTCATTCTTGTAAATTGTCAGTTTTCAGGCTGATTTTGGTGTCCTTAAAAGAATAGTTTATTTATCTGAGTTTATTTATCTTACATATATTGCACTACATATGGACCCACATATGGATACACGAAAGGCCTAGGAACAAGGCCTCAAAAGGGTTAACAGGTGTACATTTGGATTAATATCTACAGTTCGCTTATCTGTTACATGCAAATTTAGGAAATTTGCTTAGTATATCTGGTATCTTATTTTCATTAATAAGATATCTTGACATGTCACATAGGTTATTATTCTGTCTGTCTCTGTATTCCTCAATTAAGCACACAGTGTTTAAGACAGTGACCATATACCTGACCACAGTTCAGTTTAATATGTTTATTATGCACCCCATACCCATCCTGTGGGCGGTAGTCAAAAGATTACAGAGGTACATAATTGGTCCAGGGACTGGACTCCAAAGTTTTGATAGCTGAGCAAGTTACAGAGGTAATGAACTCATAATTTACAAAGGTAATGAACTCACAATTTACAAAGGTAATGAACTCACAATTTACAAAGGTAATGAACTCCAGGTAGGTCTAGTCACAATTATGACAAGTTACAAAGGTATTTACAGATTACAGAGGTACGTAATGGGTCCAGGGACTGGGCTCCAAAGTTTGATAGCTGAACTAGGTACAAAGGTAATGAACTCACAAGTTACAAAGGTAATGAATCCTGTAAGAATGGTTACTTACGTTTATACATGGGTACAATCATGAGCAAATTCCAGAGTAATGAGCAATTCACACTTCCACACCCGGTCACAACTGTAATGAGTTATTGGTGCAAATGTTGATTGTTGAGTCACACACACACACACACACACACACACACACACACACACACACACACACACACACACACACACACACACACACACACACACACACACACACACATACACACACATACACACCACACACATACCACACACATACACACACATACACACACACACATACACACACATACACACACACACACACACACACACACACACACAGGAACAAGCACTTGTAAGCTGTAGTACACACGCAAACACACATACACAGGATTTCACACCGTCCTGAGAACTGACCATCTGAACCTTTCTCCTCCCCCCCCTCTTTCTACACTAAGTGGACTTATCTCTACCTCCTCACTCATTACCTATATCTCTCTCTCTACCTATCTCTCTCTCTCTATTCCCTCTCCCATCTTTCCCCTCCAAAAACTCTTTCCCCTAACACCTCCCCCCCTCTAAAATCTCTCCCCCTTAACTCTGTCCCCCCCATTATCCCCTTTCCCCCCTCCTTTTTTCCCCATCCTCCCTCTCTCCCCCCCTAGCCTCTCTCCCCCCTCGCTCTTCCATTCCCCCCTCTTTCCCCCCCTTTCCCCCTATTTTCCCTTTCCCCTTTCTCCCCCCCTCCCCCCTCCCTCCCCCCTCCCCCTCTCTCTTTCTCTCTCTTCTCTCTCTCCTCTCTCTCTCCTCTTTTCTTCTCTCCTCTCGCTCTCTCTCTCTCTTTGCTCTTCCTCTCTCTCGCTCTCTCTTGCTCTCTCTTCTCTCTCTTGCTCTCTTTTGCTCCTCTCTCTCTCTCTCTCTTGCTCTCTCTCTCTCTTGCTCTCTCTCTTGCTCTTCTTTGCTCTCTCTCTCTTGCTCTCTCTCTCTCTTGCTCTCTCCTTTTCTCTTCTCTCTCTCTCTCTTGCTCTCTCTCTTCTTGCTCTCTCTTTGCTCTCTCCTCTTCTTCTTTCTCTTCTCTTTGCTCTCTTCTTCTTGCTCTTCTCCTTTTCCCTTTCCTCTCTCCCCTCTTGCTCTTCTCTCTCTTGCTCTCTCTCTCTCTCTTGTTCTCTCTCTCTTTCTTCTCTCTCTTTACTCTTCTCTCTCTCTTGCTCTCTTTTCCTCTCTCTCTTTTGTCTCTTCTTTCTCTCTCTCTCTCTTGCTCTCTCTCTCTTTGCTCTCTCTCTCTCTTGCTCTCTCTCCCCTCTTGCTCTCTCTCTCTTCCTCTCTTGCTCTCTTCCCTCTTGCTTCTTCTCTCCCTTGCTTCTCTCTTGCCTCTCTCTCTCTCTTGCTCTCTTCTTGCTCTCTTCTCTTGCTCTCTCTCTTTTCTTCTCTCTTCCTTGCTCTCTCTCTCTCTTGCCTCTCTCTTGCTCTCTCTTGCTCTCTTCTCTTGCTCTCTTTCCTTTCTCTCTTTCTCTCTTCTTC